TGTGTAATCGATGTGATTCTGCAATCTGTATTTGGTGTAAAAATGGGAGTTCATAACCCACTTGAATCTAATGTATGAAATATGATATGTCAAGAGCTCTGTAATGTTTTGAACAACCAATAAAAAAATAAAATAAAGATCATGCTTTCAAAACACGAGTTTTACTGAGGACATTGCTAGATCCTAACCACAACACTGCCTACTAGTCCTAAAACTGTGCTTAAGATAAATGTCCTCTTCGGGGAAGCAAAGAGAAGTAAAGATATTACCTAGTTAGTAAAAATGGACAATAAAAAGAATGATGTTCAAATTCAAATTCAAGCTAGAAACAAAAACATTATATAGTGCTACCTTATTCTTCTCTAAATTATTGGTATATTCAGTTTTATTCATTCTACTAGAGAAATCCAGTCCCTGGCCTCCAAGACTCATGTGCAGATAATAAACATAAATCAGAACATACACTTTTTACTCTTCAGTTTGGTTGATTGATTATAAAATAGTTTCTTCTACTTGTTTATGTTCATGACTTATTTGGGGTAGTTTTTCTTCAAAGTTGGTTGGTTATTTTCCTTTAAGGGGAAGCGAAGATGCTTAATTGGGGTGAAAAGAGGTAGTGACACATGACTGCTACTTGCAATGGCTCTGTGGGGGCAAAAGAACCTGGAAGACATCTGTTACCTCACCACAGAGCATGACTGCCTCAGAGACAGGAAATCAGGAAAGGGGAGAGGGGAGAATGCATGAGCCTCTGGCAGATGAGCTTCTCTTGCTCTCTGGCTCTTCTTCTAGTGCATAGAAATCTATTTGCACAACATCGTAGAGAAAATTTTGTTATTTAGGAAAACAGTTTGTCATGATGTAGGAGAATTATAGACCTGGATGGCAAAAAACTGGAAACTATCTTAGAAATCTGTCTCTCGGCATCCTCCCTTTACATATTAGATCAAAGCAGAACAATTAAATAAGATGCACAAGATATCACAGCTACCAAGTGACTTTCTCTTTATAATTCTACCTCCCTGATATCAACCCCTTAAAAAAATCAACAATTTTTTTTTTAGTTTCTGCAAGCATTTTAAGATCGTTCTAAAAGTTTTACAAAAGAAATGCTACTTTTAAAACACAAGGTAAAGTTGCTATTAAAAGAAGTCATGAGAGGCTGGGGCTGTAGTTCAGTGGTACAGTGCCTTCCTAGCGAGTGTGAGGCACTGGGTTCGATCCTCATTACCGCATAAAAATAAATATATTGTGCCCATCTACAACTAAAAAATATTTTTTTTTAAAAAAAGAAGCTATAAAATTAACTTTTAATATGCATTATAATAAACATTTAATACATAAAACGAACATTCTTTTGCCAATATCAAGTATGGATTTTTAATTACTATTATATTTTTCTGAGAAAAGGAAATGATTGTATTATATTCTTAAACTATGACAATGAAAAATTCATGCTTTTACCATAAGAGCTAGAGAAATCATTGCAATGACCCAATCAACTCCATCATTCGGTAATTATGGCAAAAAAGTATATAATATTTCTATTCCATTGCATAACATGCCCATGTGTTTTTCAACAATAAAGAAATCTTGAAATTGTCCAACTTGTATATAACCAGCATTTTTAACTTAATTCAATTCCCCCTGGAAATCTTATTAGTTCTGATCTTCCTTTTGCTTCTCTGCCACCCATAGATCTATTTTCCCCACCCCAGGTTTGTGATTCATTGACTACATTGGCTTCAGGCCCCACCTGACTCTAAACCAGTGGTATTCATGTCTGATAAATTGCTGAATAAATACTTGGGGACTTTCCTTTATAGTCCTTGTCAGCTTTTCCCAACTACATTTCCATTTTTAGTGCTTTTATTTCCAATTGTGCCTATTTGAACAAAAGAATATTTAATTGTGGTCTGAGAAGAAGGCTCAACGTTTATGAAGGAGGATGAATGAAATTATGTTATATTTTGGAGAAAGGATGTAAAATATCAAAGCACATATCTTTACCCAAGTTATCTGTTTTGCTTTCAGTGGTTACAGCTCAACTTCAACAACGCACTCACACCAATGCAACATTTTATTTCAACAACTATTTTAGTGCCCAGTATGCTGCAGGTGCTGGAACATCACAGACAAATGGGACATAGCCCTGTGCCCTAGGAGCACACAGTCCAGCATAGCAGAGAGATGGTCCAGTTACCACCTGGTAGAGGTGGTTAGTGCTGTGTAATAGAGGCATTATTATATGATGGAAACTTTTTTAAGTTGCTCCTAAAAATGAATATATGAAGTAAAATATGTGAATCATATATAGGTGAGAAATTAAATCCCAGAGGGAGGATAACACACAGAGGGAGATGTTGCTTACCAGATGGTTTGGCTGTGGCTGTCTTTGGCCATTGAAGACAAAGTCTATTCTTGAATTAGGTTCCATCTTTGAACATCCCAAGGTGTTTAGGTTCCCTTCAAAAATCGAAACTACTTCTGCCCCTCCCATAGGCCAGGCAGTTCCATGTCACTTAGAAGTGCTTTGAGAGATATATACAGAATCTTTTCTCCAAGTTCTTTGCTGTACTTCTCCCCAGCTACCCCACCTCAGAGTTTCTCCAGTCCTCCTAGACTGTGCTCCCTTGCTCTCGTCTCCAACTGGTTGCCAGAATTCGTGTTAGAATTTGGAACCAGAATGAATCACTGCTTTTACACAATCCCATAGCACCTCCTCCGACACACCCCCACACAATAACGGACATTAGCAAAAAATAAGATAGCAGCATAGGAGATCGCAAACTCGGGGATGTGAAACCTACCAAAATAGAGATGAAAGAGATGGAAAAAAAAAGTAGAAAGAAAGAAGGAAGGAAAGAAAAGGGCAAGTCTATCAAGACAGGGCAGAAACAAGATTTTCAATAGACTACCAAGTCTGAGTGGGCAGGCTTTCATGGAGATCCCAAGGCCAGCCAGTTGATTGCATTTCTTTTCCCCTGATGTGGAGTTTTTGTTGGAGTTTGTCTTGTTTATATTTTATTTTGTTTTGAATGCCTCCAATAGCTTCTTCCCACATCTTGGTCACTCGAAAGGAAAACTATAGTTTTCTCATCATCCAGAAGCCACATTCAGCCACTTCCACCCACACACTCAGAGCACTCAGATCCTGTCTGGAAGAGCCAAGGGGGAGGAGAGAGGCAGGGCTCTGGCCCATCTGTGTGCAATCAGTCGCAGCAACCCAACAGGCACTTGAAGGAAGGAGGTTTCAGGCTTCAGGATTTGAAGAAATCCCTCCAGCTTCCAAGGGTTGTTGATGAGAACCTCTCCTGAGTGGACTTTTGTGCTTTTCTGTGAGTCTGGACTCTCCCTGGCTGGAACTCTGGGACAAGAGCTCCTTCGGTGGCTTCCCATTTCAGCCTGAATTCTGGAACACACAACCTGGGTTCTTTTTTATTTATTTTTTTCCTAGTTGTAGGTGAACACAACACCTTCATCTTAACCATTTATATGTGGCGCTGAGGATTGAACCCAGGGCCCCACAAATGCTAGGCAAGCACTCCTCCGCTGAGCCCCCAACTCCAGCCCCACAACCTGGGTTCTTACTGTGGAAGAAGCTAGATCTTCCTTATTCCTTTTAGGCTCCCATTTGGTTACCCACTATTTTTCTTGAAAATGGAAACACATTTGGGATTAGACTATCTATGTGTTTTTTAAGCAAGGATTTAAGATTAGGAATTATTTAAAAGCAAGTTCTCCAGATTTGGGGACTCACAGAATATACAGGAATTTCAAACATCATCCAACCCGTTTGCTATCTTGGAATATGCTTCCTAGCTGAAGCCTTATTTAATAATTGTTCAATATGACAATAATTTCTTGAGTTAAACTTGTGCCACGAACATAATACCTCATGAATATTAAATAATGAAATATAAAAAGATGAGATAATTCAGGATTTCCTCAGAAAGCTTCAACTTCTTGAATACTTTCAACATTTAAAACCTGAAAATGCTTACATGAGTCCTGTACGATTCATAAAAATTAAGGACTAATGTTAGTCAAAAATTTCTTAAAAATGGGGTTGGTGTTGTGGCTCAGTGGTAGAGTACTTTCCTGGCATGTGGCAGGCTCTGGGTTTGATCCTCAGCACCACATATAAATAAATGAAAATAAAGATCCATTGAGAACTAAAAAATATTTTTAAAATAAGTTTCTTGAAAATTATTTGGAATTTTAGTGAATTTCCTCATGAACACAACAATATAAATTAAATTATGGGTACCAATCCTCATAAGCACATTTGATTCCTAAGGCATTCAGTCAGACACTGATTGTACCATATCCATTATAGAAAACCTGCATGTACACACCTCTTCTTCACATACGTCCTTGTCCCACTTCCAAGACCACATAAAGGGAGAGAATAACATTAGTATTTATTTGACAACTACTAAGTGCCCAATAATGTAGTAAGTCTTACTTAATATCTTATTGACAAGATATTTGAAAATCCCATCATTAAAGTCTGATTGAGTCAACAATTATAAAATCACATGTTAATGTTGGAATCTTTGTAATTATTACAGACTAAGAGAATTTCCTTACATTCCAATATAGAGATGAATATGACATTGTTTTTACTCTCAGTGGAAGTTATACAAGAATATGCAAAGCATATGCCTAAGTAGACATTAGCAATAACTGTATTCATACCTTGCTTCTAGAAGTAGCATGAGTCTAATAATATTGACCAAGAGATTTGAAGTCAGAACCAGCTGTGGGAAACAGCTTCACCAAGTATTTCATGCTTGGTCGTAACACTTTCAAAAACCTAACTTCCACATTTATAATGAAGCTTCATTGGAGAATTTATGGGAACCACTATTTGCTGTGGCTTATATGGAATAGGAACTTGAAAAGCTACTGGCTCTCTTTCCTTCAAGTCACATGTGGAATTCTGGAACTCTTTTTAAGAAGATGAAATTCCAGTTTCTGAGCCACATAGGAAAATGTCCAAAGCCCAGAATATAATTGCTACTCTGGTGGGCATCCCACACAGTAATTGTATCTTACTGGTATCTTACTTCTTCCACTGTAAACAGTTTTCCATATGCAAAGGGCTGTGGGAATGTGGATTATTTACCAGGACGAACCTTTCATTATCACTTAGCACTGACCACAGCTTGCTTCGGAGTGGAATCCTATGTATAATAGCAAATGCTATATTACTGCAAAGGACTTATTTCCAAGCTCATCTGATGCCTGAATCATTAGGAATCATCCCCTCTCGTTGTTCTTTCATTTTCTTGCTTAGTGGTTTTCTTTTTGTTTAAAGTGCCTGGCAAATTGTAGTTAACAGGAACTTTCAGCCAATTTTAAAATTTAACCATTCAGAAGGTTCATTTCAAGGAAGGAAAAACCAAAGGCCTCTGAACACTTGAGAAAATGCCAGGGGCTTGTTCAGACCTTGCTTACTAAACCTCAGACCTGGTTAACAACAAGTTCTTCCCTTGTAGGTGAATAAAGAATGATCTCTCAGGTGCCTTCTGGCTCTCAATTTCTATGATTTAAAGTGAACTGGGGTTTCCTTAAAGAGAGCAAGCTTTTTAATGATATGAGAAGTCACTCTGAGCCCTTAAGCTCTTCTTCAGAAATTCATTTCAAGGGACTGATTTATGCTTTCAGTATTCATCAAAGCCCAAGCCTGTTCTTCCTCTGTGGAGGCGAGTTCTTTTACGAAACGTGCCTTTGTGTGATATGCATTACTAATGCTGCGTGCATTTTTAAACCAGGTTCACAATATTGGGGTAGGTCCAGAGGAGATGGTTAAAGGTGATCAAGTGTTCCCTAACCTCTCATCCCAGCCTGGGGCAGGGAATGAAGTGCAGTGTCCTGTGAATCTGGCTTGTCTTTTTAATTGAAATTCTTAGTTGTCCTCAATCTAAATTCTTAACCTAGGCTCATCTTTAATTCTTTAAAACACAGACCCTTGAGCTTCTTTTGATAATCCAGTTCACACAAAAATTAACATTCCACTTCTCACGGTCTTCTCCAAGTCACCCAGCTATGAAAAAAAACTGAGCTCTAAGGAACTAATAATAGCTAACAGGCTGGACATTGATTTAGGGGCTTTACGTAAACTCATTTAATCTTCATAATTGCCCTGTGAGGTAGGGATGATTAATATCACCACATTATAGCTGGAGAAGACTGAGGCCTAGTTTCACAAGGTTACCTAGACATTAAGAGATAGAGACAGGTTATGATCTCAGGGGCCACACGTTGCCTTAAAAGGGGTCTGAGTGAGACAAATTTACCCTGGACTGATTTCTAGATGTTCTGATGAATTTCCAGTGGAATGGGCTGGTATTGGAGGCATCTCAGTGTGGCTCGCAAGAGCCGATTTTAAGATTTTCAGACATTTCATCAGCCAGTTAATTTCACAATAGCACACTGGTAGCTTGAAATTGTCCATTATGAGAAACCCCATTATTAGTATGAATAATAAGCAATTGCTACAAACCAAGCCTTACCCTCACTGAGCCAGTTGTTAAACATTTAGTACCACACCACTGAGTAGAGTATTTTTTGAAAATTCTCCTGTGACTCAAATATGGAGGAAGGGTTATTCCTGGTCAACTGTTAATTCCAATTTCTTCAATTTCTAAAAAATTTCAACAATTTAATAGCATTCCATAAATGCCAGCAAATATTGGGCCTCTTTGTTATTTTTGCTCCTTTCAAAGGCGTCTTTTCTCTTTTGCTCATATTTAGTATTTGGAGGGGGCTTGGGAGGAGACAATTTATCTAACACAACTTTTCTTTTATTTTAAATGTGGAGTGTTTAGTTCTGTGGCTGAGTCAAAAGGCCCAATCTTGGAGACTGGAGCTAGACAGCCAAAGAAACATGAATCACTCTTTTTTGTCTAATAATCTCCAATTCATTGACAAGTAAACTGCACTTGAAATGGATTCTCTGATAAGGAGTTCAAGCTGCTAGACAATGGACCAAAGATTAGGAAGAAGAGGCATCCGAAGGATTCTGCTCTGGTCTCTCCGTTCATTCAGTGTTTTAGTCAGATTACTTGCCACTGTGACCAAAAGACCTGACAAAAACAATTTTAGAGGAGAAGACGTTTATTTGGCACTCAACAGTTTCAAAGGTCTCAGTCCACAGACGACCAACTCCATTGCTCTCCATGGGAGGCAGGAAAACATGGCAGAAGGGTGTGATGAAGGAAAGCAGCTCAAGACAGGACAACAAAGAGAGAGAGAGAGAGAGAGAGAGAGAGAGAGAGAGAGAGAGAGAGAGAGCCAGAGAGAGTAAGCGTGCTCCATTCACCAGGGACAAAATATATACCCCAAAGCACCCCACCAGTGACCCATCACCTCCAGACATATGCTACCTACCTCTGGCTACCACTCAGTTATCAAGGGAATAATGCACTGATTAGGTTAAGGTTCTCATAATCCAATCATTTCACCTCTGAACTTCCTTGTATTGTCTCACAAGAGTTTTGGGGGGCACATCTTGTGTCTAACCATAGCACTTTGGTTTCCACCACAGGAAGAGGCTCCACTCAGATGGAGATTTTCAGTTCCATAGGACACCAGAGCAACCCAAATCTCTCTTAAGAATTTCAACATATTTATT